GGGGGGGAGTTAATAATAATGAAAAGAAAGGCTTCGGTGACACCGAAATAACTATACAACTGAGATAAAGGTGAGGCTCACCATTGGGCGGAAATGATTATAATTAGGGAGCAAGGTAATCGTCATTGGGACCGGGAGTAATTTTTGGGGGACTCACGGGCAATGGCGTCCTTCGGGTTCCGAGAATTCCTCTCCTCTCCCTCCTCTCTCCACCCTTCACTCTCGCTCGACCTCTCAAAAATCCTCTACAGATCCTTCCACAACCAAATCCTCTACACAATTGTTATATAATCAAATCTTCCAACACACAAATCCTCTCACACTTCTTGCACAACCAAATCCTGTAATCCTAATCCTCTTCTCAGAAATTTCTTTCTCCTCATACACTTTCTCCTTTCTCTTCTCTACTCTCTCAGCACTTTTCAACTTTTCTTCTCCAAAATTTCTTTTCTAGCTTTCGAAGGAGTCCATTAACAAGTAATGGCTACTCGGCATGCGCTAGTCTTCTTCCCCGACTGTCAGCGATTAAGTTAATCGGGGGCATTCGTCACTCGGGGCTTCCATCGTGGGATGTCGTTTTCTTTTCCGGGTCACGTGGAGTCCAGTTCATGACGTGGGGATTTTCTTAATTCTGTGAGTCTTCTTCTTCTCCTGCAAGTAACCTGGCGAGGGGCAAGGGGGGGGGGGGGGGGGGGGTTCTCGTCGTCATTCCAGCCATGGTCGACTGCTGGCGTGAGTACAGTGGTGAAGGGAACGGGGTGGGGGAAAGAGTATGCCGGGAGAGTGGGAGGCCAACGGTGATAGGTTTCCTACCGTAGTTTTTCCCTACGGCTACCTTAATCCAGTGTTAATATTGTCAACATATAAATTGTTAATCTTTAGGGGGCAGAGGGAGGGCACTAATCTTATCTGCTTCGTCACATATAGCCGAAATTCACAGTTTTACATTTTTTGCGCAATTGTCTGTTGCAGAATTGAAGTGACATAAAAGAATGGGATGTTTTGGCATTCGTTATTTAATGACTCACGAAGCTGTGGTGATGCAATCATTTCCATGTGCTTTCTGTACAGGTTTGTGATTCTTTTTAAAATTTTAGAAAAAAATGCAGAAATATGTTCGCACCACCTTGAAACGTCGTGAGTCATTAAATACTGACAAAACGCAAAATGTTATATTTTTATACGTCCATAATACCGTAATAAGCTGACCGGAAAAATTCAGAACGTTAATTTGGGCTATATATGGATGCAGAACACTCTTAAAGTGTGTGACGAGGCATTTTTTTTTAGCCCCTCCCCTGCCCCGTAATAATAACTTTTTGTTAGATTTAAGTAAAGTAAGCGAAATAAATAGAGGAGGTTATAAAACCTGTCATCGTTGGTTCCCACTCCCGAAACATGCCTTCCCCTTGCCCTGCGCCCTCCCCCATCGCTACACTCACGCCGCTGAAGACACCATCATCGAGAGAAGGAGAAAACGGCCCCCCCACCCGCCATTCCCCTCGTCACCGCACGCCACACGGAAGGAAGATGAGAAAACCCCCCACGGAGACGTCACTCACCACGTGACCCCGGAAGAGAAAGAAATTCCGGAACGACTAATAATTAGGACGAGGACACCCGATGACGAGTGTCCCCGATTGACCCCGATTATTACCGATAATCGGGGAAGAATAACCACGAGTATGGAGAAGCCATTACTCGTGATACAGCTGCCCCTGCGGAAAGGATAATCGTTGAGAGTACTTGGAAGAGTTATTTGGAAAGTATTTTTGAGGAGTCATTTGGAGAGTAGTTTGAGGAGTCATTTGAAGAGTAGTTTGAGGGGAGTACTTTGAGAGTATTTGGAGGAGTTTTGTGAGGAATATTTGTGGAGGAAAACGTGTGCCCGTGGCCCGTGGAGGAATACATAAGACCCAGGAGTGACGAACGGAGGCAGGGCTAGTGTAGGCGAAATTGCTACAGGAGTTCCCTGCAGTGAGGATTTTGTTTGGAGGAGTTTCTCGTGTCCGGAGGACTTTTTTGGAAGGATTAGAGTAGCCGCCATCCCTGTGACTACCCTTCAGTACCTTTCCCGCCCAGAAAATCCCAACGCACCCCCTGTAATATTATTCCCCCCCCCCCCCACCGGTGAGCCTCACCATTTACTAATTATTAGTGTAATTGTGTAGAGTAGGAATATTTGTTGTGATCATCATAACAACCCCCCTATAATCGGATATTGAAATCGTTCCCCTAACTTCTCCCCGTTTTTAATTAATTAACTTCCCCCTTTTTTCTTTCTCTTTTCCTTTGTACATTATTCTTTTAATTATTATTATTAATTACCTGTGTGTCGCAAGCTGGCTGGCCTTACCCCCCACCCTTGATTAATAATTAAGAAAAGGCCTGGATGATTGTTCATGTGACTTCAAAATCGTGATCTTTTGTATGAATATAATTGGACTAGAATATAATTTAGTAATTCATTAATCCCCCCCCGAGTAATTATTTAAAACCCCTCTTTTTTCTTATCATTTCAGGCCCTCCCATACAATACAATTTCTCAATTTCTCATCCACATCTAAGTGAATAAATAATATCGTGGGTTGGCCGGAAATTATTATATTCTAATTCTCCGGCCCAGGTCACAATTGGCGCCCAACGTGAGGCCAGCCGCTGTATACGGCACACGCGAGTGTTTACGTTTTTTTGTAGAGGCTCACCGGTACGAATAATAAACCCACTGCATTCCGAAGGGGATTGGTATATAGAACTGGGATTAAAGGGAAAATCAATCAGACCAAAATCAAATCCTACGAATTTCCGTAATAAATTCACTTCCCGTTATTGACAGGGAATATTCAACTCGAATCATCCTTTCAACTCTCTCAAGGTAAATAAGAATCAAACTGTTGAGTTCCTTTAAATTTCAACTCAAAATCAAATTTTTCATTCCCTTTCAATTTTTTTTTTTGTTGGTCTTTTCCAGCCATCCCATTTCTGAGATTTTCTTTTTCTTCTTTTTTTTTCTTTTTCTCTCTCATTTTTTTTGTTGTTGAGATTGAAATTCCCCAAGCCCCGATCGTCCCCGACCCCTACGGACTGAAAGCCAAATTGACTCAATTTTACATTGAAATAATTTTGAATTAGTTAATTAATTATTTAACTTCTCCAATATTATTTCCTCATGTATTATTGTTGATGAGTTTAGGTAGAGATAATTCTACTATTGCGAAGGTGCCTTCCCACCGCCGATTCATATGTTTTAACCGATTTTTCACCTGTTTCGCTTCCTTTTCTTTCTTGTTTTCTTTTGATTATCCCGAGTATCCGTGCTGCCGGAGGCGCACAAAGCGCGTTAAAATGTTTTGACCTGCCGAGGGTGCACCGTTTGCGTGTTCTTCTTCTTCTCGCGCAGTCTTTCGTTGGTTTCGTTGCATTCTGCTTCTGCTTCTGCTTCTAGCCCAATCCACCCCCTTCCCCCTCCAATTCATCGCGACCCCCTTCCTACACAAATCGCCCAATATCACA